AAACGATGGTAATACCGCTAGACGTTTTTTTAAACATTTTGAAACTACTTCCGAAATAACCGGAATTAGTATGGATTTACTGCAAAAGGTCAATATTATTCTAATGGCGATAAATAGCAAGCATAAAGTGAACGCAACAAAATTTGGAGAGTATTCTACAAAAGTTTCTAAATTACTTTTGGAATTATATCCCTGGAAAGAAATGACACCTACAGTTCACAAGATATTATGTCATGGAAAGGTCATCATAGAACATAATATTCTGCCTTTAGGAGAGCTTACAGAAGAACCCCAAGAATCGAGGAATAGAGACTTTAAGCATATTCATCAGTTTAGCTCAAGGAAGTGTTCTAGGCAGTCTCAAAATGAAGATATTTTTAATAATCTGATTCTATCTTCTGATCCTGTTTTATCTACTATAAGGAAACGTTGGATTTGCTACAAAACGTTAGCATTTGAAAATATTCATGAATTTAAAGATTTACTTTATCTTTTAGATATGGACTACTGTGATACCGATTATTTTACAAAATTATATTAATTTATAAAAAAAAAAATAAATAAAGACTATTTTTATATAAAATAAATACTTGTTAATTTTTTTAGGGATAAAGAATAAAAGATTAATCGTAAAAAGTGGCTGTAAAAATTCATAAAAATTTAGGTAGTAAAACATGCCTAACAAATGTATGGATGAAAATAATAGTACTAGGTAAATTCTCTAAAAGATGTTGAGTTTTCCCTAATTAATTTGTCACTTAAAAAACATTAGGTAGGCATGTTATATATCAATGGAAAGGTAATTTTGTCTATTTTTCAAAACTGTATATAATTTTTGAAAATTAAAAAATTCGCGGAATACTTTTTTAAAAAAAATTAAAAAATGTTTTTTATTCAGTTTTTGCGAAGATACAAATTTTTCAAATTGCAATAAAAATTTTATTTATGAATATTTTTTGATGAAATTTTACAGTTAGGTAGATTTTTTTACTCAAAATCCAAAATTAAATAAAAATTTCGAATTTTCTTATTAGAAATCCCGGAATTCCCAAAAAAGTTTTAAAAAATCCCAAAAATGGGATTTTTTGGTTTTTTGCCTATTATATCCATACCAGGGGCGGGGTTATCGAAACCCGTTACAAAATGATTAAGAACATATTGGGTCATATAAAACAGGTCACTATAATTTGATATCGACTATGCGATTGAGAATTTTTGCTCAAATTGAATTTTATATAAAAATAGGGTTTTTTTGGATGGATCTGGTCCCCTCGGTATCAAAAATTTTTAGGTTTTGTTTCATTTATCGTATTTTATGTAAAGTCAGCTTTTCAAAAAGTATAAATTCTATATACATCTTCTTAGAAACTTTTTAGATAACTTAAAAAGAAAAAGATACTTTTTTCCCAAAAAAATGGCAAAAAATCGCCTTTTTTTAATTTTTTAAATTAAAATGCCTATAACTTTGGACTCAGTCATGATTTTTACATAATTCTTTCACTGCTTGATATATAGACTTGTTGTTAAGCGAATAAAAAAAAAATGGCGAAAATCGGGAATATTTGGACCCGCTATTATCAAAAAACTAAAGTAAGGACGGTAAAAATTTTAAAATTTTAATTTTCAAATGCGAATATCTCCTAAACTATAAGAGATAATTTACTGCTACGACGACAATTTTTTTTTAAATCGGAACTCAAATGAAGAAATAAGATCGTTTTAAAAATTTAACATAGCCGAGGTGTCCTAATTTGAGGACCCCCCGCCGGGCCCCTGGTTGGCCTATAAGGTCCAAATTCAAAACCTAAACTCGACAACACCTCCTTTTTGTGCATACCAAATTTCATTAAAATCGGATTAACCGTTTAGAAGTTACCGAATTATTTCCCTCTTTTTTTTTTCCTATACCACTGTGCAACGTATATAGGAAGTAGATAATTTTAGAAAAATCAAATTCAGGTTCTTTGAGGATAGTAAATAAGTTAATTTTTAGGAACACTAGAAAGATAATAACGTCAAGTAGTTTCACTGAAACTGACATTATGACTATTATAAAGCATTATTTTCACCCAACAAGGGTCAATGCTATTTTTATAGAAGATGATCTTATATACGACGTTTTTAGGGAAACCTTTTTAAAGTATTTCGCAGAAAATCCACAATTGAAGGTTGCAAAGTGTAACTACTGTCTTGATGATATATTGGATGAAAATGAACTTCACGAATTTATTGAGAATGAACATCAGAGGAATAACCATCGGGGTATTAACGAAAATTTCGAAGAACTTCGACAGAGAATATATCATCCGAAACTTAAATTAAGAATTCAACAATACATTAACAATTGTCACATTTGTAATTTGGAGAAATATGATCGCAACCCGATAAAACAAAACTACAAAATAACTGAAACACCTGACAGACCTGGTCAAATTGTACATATTGATGTTTTTTATAGCTTAGAAAAAACACTATTTTTAACGATTATTGATAAATTTTCTAAATTTGCACATGCAATAAGAATACAGAACAGATCGTGGGTAGAATTTAAAAGGGCACTTACACAATACTTAAGTATTGTGGGCAATATTGGGAAGATCATAACTGACAATGAGTGGGGGTTTAAGGCATTACCATTAACCGAATTTTTAAGACAAAGACAAATCGAAATACATTTTTGTTCAAACAATAACCACACTTCGAATGCAGACGTGGAACGTCTCCACAATACTATTAACGAACACATTCGGCTACTCAGACATGATCCTAAAAGGGACAGTGATACAGTTGAAGAGAAAATGTATAAGGTTATTATGTTTTATAATAACACAATACACTCTACTATAGGACATAGACCAATTGATTTTCAAAACGGTCTGATAAAAGCAGATGAATATCCAAAAATTAGGGAGAGAATCCGGAAATCTAAGGAAAAATCAATATCTTATCTGAATAATAATCGTGAAGAGTGTGAGGTCCAAACAGGTGATATATATTTAAAAAGTGAAAGAGGTGGAAAAAAACACGCAAAATTTCGGAAAATTAATGTAGACAGACTTGACGATGACCACATAATAACTCAAACAGGACATAAATATTACAAGTCTCACATTAGGAGAAAGAAAAAATGTTAGAATATTAAAATATTTTTTTGTTTTGTTATAAATTTGTTAAAACTAAAATATGTATTTTTATCATATATGTATAAGTATGTCTCATATTAAAAGAATGAGAAAATGTTAAATTTTTGCTTGTTATAATATTGGTAAATTATGTATTTTTCATGTATGTAAAATTATATACATATATATGTATATGATACATTTTGTTTGTAAGAAAAAAAAAAAAATAATTTGATAAAAATTTAAAAATACATATATCCAAAATCAAAGTTTCCTCGGAGCCGCAATCTAAGGGTGGGGGAGTTATATGTATACATAATTATACATACACATATTTTGAATACCAAAATTAATACCTTCATTTTTTACTTATTTTGTAATTGAACGCTCATTAGTAACAATACTTATATTATGTTCAATTATATTGTTGCTAAGTAAACAATTATAGCGATCAAACATACACAATCATGTCCACTTTCTTACATACATTACATATGTATATAAGCTAAGTGTCATGTTTCTGCATGCCCGATCTTGTTGCTAGCTTTGTTTGGTTAATATATTGTTACTAAGTGTAAATAATAATTGGGATCGATCATGAGAAATTCTACCTGCTTTCTTACATACGTACAATACGCATTTAAGAGAAGTAGGATGATTCTGCATGCCCATTCTTCTTACACTTTATTACATTTATTACAATTATGAAATATTATTATTATTTTGTTACTAAGTATGGATAAAAATATTTGTTGTCCAATTTAATTATATATAAACCTTTATGGCAATTCTTTTAGTCAGTTCGATTTTAGAAACCAATGTGACAACATTGATAATAATTAAAATATTAAATTTAAGGACTTAAAAATAAATAAAAATAATTAATAACTCAATATAAATAAATAACTCAAAAAAAAAATAAATTAAATGTGTTTAATTTAAAATTGGAAAAACCTACGACGAAATTACTATACTCCTGGGGATAATAAATTCTTTGGGTCAGTTTGACCAGCATAATTTTTGAATCCTTAAGCTCCGTTAGACTTAGAGTCAAGCTAGGATGCTCAACCTTTAAGCCCTTCTTCCTGGTAGCGTTAATGAACCTGATCACGTACGCTGTAACAGCAAGAGCTCGTGGATAAGAGGAAAATCTGTCGATAAGGCTGTTGTCAGCCGGTGTTGAAAAACAAACTGAAATCCTCCTTTTTTCGAGAAGAACTTCAGGTGGAGAATTATACTTGGGCCAATTTGCTTGGGAATCCAAGAGACACATTGGTCCATACCACCACAATGGTTTGTTAACAAAATCTTGTGGTTTACAACCGCGAGTGCCAAGATCAGCTGGGTTGTGATCCGTTTGAACGTGATTCCAAATGGCATTACCAACATTCTCTATAATCTGAGTTGTTCTGTTAGCTACATACGTTTTTCAAACTGATGGAGGTTTTTGTAGCCAAGCTAAAACAATGGTTGAATCTGACCATAAGTAGAGTTTTGCTGTGGAAGTTCGTCAGTACTTGCTTTACGAGCTTGGAAAGCAGAAGAGCTCCGCATAACTCAAGTCGAGGCAATCTTATCCGTTGCAAGGGCGCAACTTTACTTTTAGCAGAAAGCAGATGTGAATATCGAATACCAGAGTTCTCGGATACCACATATAATGCAGCGCAATAAGCCTGCTCAGAAGCATCACAAAATAAATGTATTTGGATATTATATTGTGGGTGGTCTTGGAATTTCAATTGATTCGATAGTAGGGAAACTATCAACAAATATTTTCCATTTATCAAGAAATTGTGGTTTTACCTCGTCATGCCAACCGACCCCATCTTGCCATAATTCTTGTAAAAGAATCTTGGCTTGAATAATAATAGGCGTAAGCTATCCTGCGGAATCGAAAAGTTTAGCAACAGCAGAGAGAATCTGCCTTTTTGTTGCCGATGATGTCGAATTTAATTGTTCTACTTTATAAGTGAAGGAATCACTTATAGCATTCCAACGAATTCCCAAAGTTTTTGTTGAACTTGAATCATAGAGTTTCAAAAATTCTGTGTTCAATAAATCATCAGATGATATCTGAGACAATAAATCTGGATGATTTGCCGTTATCTTCTTTAAAGGGAACCCTGCTGATTTTAAAGTACTAATCATCTGTTTTTGAGCTTCCATTGCCGATGGCAATGAATGGCCTCCGGACAATATGTCGTCAACATATGTCACTTTTCTCAAAATTCTTGCAGATAAAGGACTATCTTTTTCTGAATCTGATGGCAATTGTAGAAGGGTCCTAATTGCCAAATAAGGTGCACATGCTATACCGAAAGTTACAGTTGTCAACTCAAAATCTTCAATTGGGCTTGATATATTTTTCCTAAACAAAATTTTTTGATACGAACTATTATTTGACGATACATGTTCTCAATGTCTCCATTAAAGACATACTTATATAAACGCCAATTTAGAATGATTGTCATTAAATCTGCTTGTAAGGTTGGTCCGACGTGGAGAACGTCATTTAATGACCTTGAACTTTTTGTCTTTCGTGATCCGTTGAAAACGATACGAACTTTTGTTGGTGCACTTTCAGGTCTAAAAACCGCATGATGTGGCAAATAATAAGAAAAGAACTTTCCATTATGACAAATTTCTTGAGAATTTGATTTCTTCATGTGACCGAGAGAAATATATTCATTCATGATGTCATTAAAACTTGCATAAGCGTGTCATGTTTTTCAATCCTTTGTCCAATATGTAAATATTGCTTCTTTGCCAAATATCGTGACGCTTGCAAAAACTCAGATTCTGGAAATTCACTTTTAAACGGAAGTTTAACCACATATCTACCATCGGACTGTCGATAAGTTGTCTCTTTATATAGATTTTCGCAAAAGAGGTCTGCTTCTGATTGATTAGCTATTTGCGGAATTGATTTCCCAGAACTTTCTTAATATTGAGCTAATACTTTCATTTTCGCTTTGTAAGTTGTCTATGGCCGTAAGTGAAATTGTGTGCAATTTCATTGGACCGTAAATGTACCAGCCATAAATAGAATTCTGAGCAATTAAATTACCCAAAACGTTTTTCTTTAGTCCATCAAGTATGATGTGAGGAATTATGTCACTTCCTAGCAGCATGTCTATTTGAGCAGATATTAAGAAATTGGGATCAGCTAAGCATAAGTCTCTTATGTCGGAGAGATCAGAGATTTCTTATTCATTCTTATTTTACTGATGTAAACAGCACTGAACATGTCTCTAAATGAAGGCCACTCTTCATAGGAGCCATGAAAGTCAGGTGCATCGCATGGTGGAACGTTGACACCCATATCTGGCGCTTCATAAGTCATGTTCAGTGGATGGTAACTAGATGGATCAAATGCTGAGGAATGAGAAGGACCATTGTGTCTTTGATTATTTTCAGCTGAAGCTTTGGACATTTTTAGAAAATCTATCATCTCAGCTTTGGTCTCTTGATACCTATCCCTACATTCTTCATAAGTGGATTTAGCATTCGCTTTATAATCTGGGCTGACGATTCCGTCATCAGCCATATATACGCCTTCATAAGCACGGCGTAGCGACTGCCAATCCTCTTCTAGTGTTTGCAGTTTTGCCTCTAAAAGAGATTCAGTCAAATCATCACAACCTAGACTTGAAAATTTATTGCACACACCCATTAAATTTTCTGATTCGTGAATGAATCTAGTACATATTTGGGAACCCATTGTACTTATTTTCTTTTACAATAAACAAAGGAATGTGACTTTTTAGTGAACCCAAAAATAATATGTAATAAAAATTACTATATGACAGTAGAAAAGTATAAAACGACCTATGTACTGAAAGTATTAAACACTGTATGTAGGGTACCTCTAGTAAAATATTTCTAAAGTGACTGACAGGTTAGGTTAGGTTAGGTTGATAGGAGGATGTATACTACATCAAATCCGAAGAAATACACCTAGGCCACTATCGGGCCTGTTGTGCGCTCCAATTCAAGAAAGACAAAAAAAAAAAAAAAAATTTTCACTGAATGTATTATTTTTCCATGTTCAGAAACTCAGTTTCCTGGACGTAATTCCTAAGAATCTTCCAATCGGTGTTGGTTAAGAATGTTATTTCCGGAATAACATCACTTCCAAGATACTTGGATCTAACTTCGACGAATGCCTGACAATGGCAAAGAAAGTGCTCCAGAGTTTCACTGTCCTCTCCACATGCTCTACATTTGTCTGAATTCGCACGTCCAATTTTGTATAGATGTGCTCGTAATCCTGTGTGTCCACTGAGAATACGTACCATCATACTAACCTCAGACTTGCTCATTTTGAGAAGATTTCTCGTCTTGCTCTCATCAGGGTCACCCCATAGAATCTTTGTGGTTCTACCCACCGTTTCATTATTCCAAGAGGCCTTATGGGATTCTCTCATCCATATTTTTAATTCAGCTTTTGTTGCGTCGAATGGTTTTGCGTTTGTCAGGTTAACTACATCGAGCTCCCTTCCCTTTAAAGCTATTACATTCGCCCTTTCGTTGCCGATTACTCCCGAGTGGCCTGGTACCCATATGATGTGAACCTTACCTCTGGGAGAGTATTCAGTTAAAGCTTTCTTACAATCCAATACGGTCTTAGATTTAATTCTATCACCTGATATCGCACAAATTGCCTTCTGGCTGTCGGTAAATATATTAAGCCCTGTAGGCGCCATATTTATTCTAATCCAATTTACACATTCCGTTATTGCTCGTACTTCTGCCTGGAAGCTTGTGTTATGATTAGGTAAACGGTGGTATATTTCTGTTTCTGGGTCTTCAATATAGAACCCCAGACCCACTTTGTCCCCTAATTTAGAGCCATCCGTGTAGCAACGGATTCCTACTGGTATTTGCTCTAATGTTTCGCTTGACCAAGACATTCTATCTGGGATTAGCGTTTCAAAGTTTCCGACATATTCAGTGTCTGGTATGCGATCAGGCACGTCCGATGAATGTGTATAACCTTCCAATGTGTCCAGTATACATTGATGACGTGTCTTATAACCGTTTTTGGCCAGTTCGCCTAAAGTAAAGAGCCGTTCGGCTGTAAGAGCCGCCTCATATCTTATATATGTTTCAATGGGTGGAATATCTAGCAACGTTTCCAGAGCCTTGGTTGAAGTAGTACACATGGCACCACTTATACCCAAGCAGCATGTACGCTGAACTCCCTGTAGTAGTTTGATATTACACTTTTTGTCCAAAGCAGTCCACCAGATTATTGAAGCATAAGCTAAAATTGGTCTAATTACACTTTTATAAAGCCAATTTGTCATAGTAGGACTAAGACCCCATTTCATGCCTATGGTTCTCCTACATATCGCCCAGCACCGATGTGCCTTGTTGATCCTATCCTCTATGTGATGTCTCCATTTTAATTTCCGGTCAAGTATTACACCTAAGTACTTAACTTTGTCTGTCACCGGTATCTTCTTGCCCAAGAAGCAAGGTTCAGTATATGTAGAAATTTTTGTCTTTCTTGTGAAAAGACAGATTTCCGTCTTCGCCGGGTTAACATTGAGGCCTCTCGGTTGAGCCCAGCTCAAGGCCGTATTCAGAGCCTCCTCAGCTCTTCTACACAAGTAATTTGGATCCTTTCCCTTTAAAAGTATTACGACATCGTCTGCATAGCAGACAGGTCTAAGTCCTTTCTCGGTTAGGGTCCTTAGGAGGCTATTAATCGTGGTGACCCAGAGTAAAGGTGACAAAATGCCACCCTGTGGTATACCGCGAAATACCTTTTTCCTGATAGTTATATCGTACATCTCGCAGCTTATCCATCTGTTCCTTAGCATGTAGTTGATCCAGTTACGGAGCACCCGGTCAACATAAAACTGGTCTAGGGATTGGATAAGGGTATCAGTGTGCACGTTATTGAAAGCGCCTTCGATGTCAATGCATACTGCCAGTGTATACAGTTTGCTATCGAAAGATTAACCTATATAGTGGACAACTTCATTTAAAGCGGTTTCCACCGATCATCCCTTTACATAAGCATGCTGCTTATATTTAAGGTCATTGTATGGTATGCTGCTTTTAACCATGCTATCGACTATCCGTTCCAAGGTTTTAAGTAGGAAGGACGTAAGACTTATCGGTCGATAGGACTTAGGTGCCGCATAGCTAGGTTTCCCTGGTTTGGGTATAAATATTACCCTTGCATCCTGCCATTTAACTGGGGTATATGCCAATTTTAAGCATGCAGTGAATATCTGTGACAGATGTACGGAAACCAGTCCCGCCTCCATCTGCAAAAGTGCCGGGAAAATTCCATCCGGCCCTGCAGCTTTATAGGGAGCAAAGCTCTTGATTGCCCCTTTAACCATGTCAGTTGTAATAACTATTTCCGTGTTACCCTCCCCTTCCTCCAATATCGGTTCATCTATGTTATTCGATATACCGGGTGGGAAATGAGAATCCATTAGGAGTTTCATTGTCTCCTCCATATCCTCAAGCCTCCTGCCCGTGTCATCGATCATAGATTCCGGTTGGACATGAGTTTTGGATAGGAATTTTTTTATCTTCGATACGTCATTTACGCTATCTACCTGTTCACATAAAAGTTTCCAGGAGTCTCGTTTGGCTTTTCGAACGATTTTCTTATATTCACCAAGTTTATTACGATACTCATCCCAGTATACTGCGGTCTTTTTACGCCGTGCCCGGTTAAATAGTTTGCGAAGAGTCTTCCCAAGGTTCCGGATCTCCCCAGTTACCCAGGGTTTTTCCTGGGCAGATCTCCGCTCTCGCAAAGGGCAGTTGTCCTCGAACGATTCAACCAGGGCACTTGTGAACGTTTCCACTTTGGCATCTATATCCTCTTTATTTCGACATTGAAAAGTGTCCTGACCTAAACGGTTCTTTAGTAAGGTCCCGAACATTGTCCAATTAGTTTTAGACTTATTCCGAAACTTTATCGGCTTTGGTGGTGGCCTTAGTATTTTGAATCTTCAATCCTGAATTTCGTTTATAAGCTCTTCTGAACATATAGTTATATCTAATACTTCTTCTCTGATTCTATTGACGAAGGTAGCTTTATTACCTAAGTTCAATGTTATCAAGTCTTTAAGGAAATCCATGAGGGCTTGTCCCCTACGATTGGTGTTTGTACTACCCCAAGCTACATGATGCGAGTTGGCATCACAACCTATTACAATTTTCTTATTTTTCCTTTGTGCCTCTTCAACCAGTTTCATCAGATCCGACGTTGGTGGTAGTGTCGGAGAATCGAAAGGCAGGTAAATAGATGCAAGGAATATGTTGCCACGACCTTGCTTCAGCACCGTTGCATCCGATGTTGATAATCCTGTTGAGAGGAGAAAACATAAGTTCTTGTGACATAAGATACATGTTCTCGGGCGAGATCCTGTATCAGCGTAGAAAAGTTGGAAATTTACGTGATTTAATCCAGCAACCTTGTTGCGAATCGTCCAAGGTTCCTGGATTAAAGCTATATGTATTTTACCTGTGTTGATTTTAGCCATCAGAGCGTTGGTAGCTGTCTCGCTCCGATGGAGGGTTATTTGGATAACCTCAATCATGGTCATCCATTAAACTGTCTTCCAGCGAGTTGGTGGTCACCTCCTCGCTCTTTGGATTTGACTCCTCCGGATAGCGTGTGAGTACTGTTGATGGCACTGCGGTGTCCTTATCAGGCATA